TTTTTTTGGTTTTTCTCCGGTACCGGGAACCGAACTCACGACCTTGCACTTGCCAGGCAGGCGCTTTGCCGCTGAGCTAAATCCCCAGCCCCGATGGAAAATTTCTTCAAAATACCTTTCTTTCTGAAAACATTTCTGTTGGGTACAGATTTGTAGGTGCTGTTTGTTTTCTTTCAGAACTTTAAAAATTTTGCTGCAAGGGCTGGCTTGTGTTATTTTAGGTATGTATTCTTTTGTATATAATGTCTTTTTGTTCCACAAATTTTATATGTTTTTATTTTAAGGAGAATAAAAAGACAAAACAATACAAAACAATGAAAAGATACAGGATTTCAAAGCAAAATGATAGGAATTAACAATGGTTGTTATATTACATATTGTTATCTTCAGTGAAGTTGACCAGATTACCAGATGTAAAGATGCAAGATTGATCAAACAATTAAAGAGAATAAAAAGTAATAAAAAATATTAAAAATGATACAGAGCTTCACTAAGCAAGGTGGTTGGAAATCAATAATAGTTATTATATTGCACGTTGTTGTCTTCAGTGCACAATGGTTGTTCAGATTACTACATACAAGCATGTAAAATTGGTCAAGAAGAAAAAAGAAAAAAATAAAATTTAAGCATTAACTGTTCCTTTCATTAAACCAATGGACATCAGGAGTATCATTATCCCAGTCATCATTGTGTAAAGAATAAATAAAACCCAAAAGTTAGAATAGATATTGTGAAAGGGAAAGAAATTGCTTAAAGGGAAGGAACAACTGGGATGAGGGAAAGGAGAAAAGAAGGAAAGTAGGGAAAATACATATATTTTTTTAAGATTTTCTCTTCTTTATTTTTTAAGCAATTTGCTTGGAGTTTCATTCATGATTCTTTGGCTTGGGGTTCACTGAGCTTCTTGGATCTGGCCTTCTGCCCAGATAATCCCAGCTACCCTCATCTTCCAGCACTTCCAGCTTTACCCCTTGATCACAGGAAGCCACTGCCTAACCAACCCCTTTTGTGTGTGTTCCAGAAATTCTTTCTTGGCAATAAGCAGTGGCAATAATTCAAATCTCCTGTTTTGTCCCCACTCTCTCAGGGATCCCCACCCTAACTGTCTGATGTCTGACTTTAATAAAAATTATTTCATATATTTTGTCTGCTTTTTAAGTTGTTTTATTCAGAATAGGAAAGCTACTCCCTGTTCCTCCACGTTTGCGGGAAATGAAGAACTTCTAGTGGATATCCACTAAGCATGAAGCATAGTACAGTCATTTTTGTGATTCAGTTTCATCAGAGTCCTATAATGAAGGTATCATTAACCTCTTCACATATGAGAAATCCAGTGCGTAAGACAGGATGAGTGACTCAATCATACATTCCAGATGAGTTTAACTACAAGAAGATGCTGCCTGCAGGTAAAACAAAAAATTACGGAAAAGTGTAGGGATGTACATAGGTCAAGCTCATGTGTAAAACTCATTTTTATCATAATCACTTTACTGAACAATGTAAATGCCTTCTTTGCCTACTGGTGGTAGCTGGAGCATAATTTGAAAATGTGAGTTTTACGTTTCCAATAACTATCTTTGTGGATTATTTTCTTTCTTGTCCACTGGTGAAATCTTGGACAGAATCTACACTTCTGGCCATTTTGTTTATAAAAAAATATTCTATTCCAGTTTAAAGTTCCTCCCTGGACTCCAGGGCCTTGGAGAAGGGGAAGAAAGGTGAACTGTTCAATTATCTTCTTTCACCCCTGGAGTAAGGAGATGGGGTATGATCTTTTTGTAGATGTCCTCTCTCTAGTCTTTTTAATATGAAACTCTCTGAGGCTGTGGGCCAGAAATGGCAGAAATCTAAATAGAAGAAACGGAGTTCTTCCTATATTACTGTTTCATTTTTGTGCCAAGGTATTGCTGGCATTTCCTCATATATTTCTGTCTTATGAGGATCTGACTTCCTCTCCTATTAATGCTTGAAGAAGTTCACCTTCACCTAAATACCCAGTATTTCTACCTTCCTTGGGGCCTGCCTGTGTTCCATTTTTTGAGGGAAGCATCCCTCCCAAGAAAAGGACTGTTATGGTTATGCCACTCTTTCTGCTCCCTCATATAATCCCCATACTCCTTCACAGGGGGCCAGGTTCCCTACAGCACCCTCAAAGGACTACCATGACCAGCAGGGTAGGTCTGGTCACCATTTTCCCACATACTACCCCAACCATCCTTCTTGCCCTTCAGCCATAAGTCATTTCTGCAAGCCTCTCCCCTCTGATTCTCTCTCAAGATGACACACAGGAGACAAGCTCCTCTATGACCCTGACTGTCATCAGCTCTGATGGCAACAAAGGGATGAAGTGGGGGCTGTTCTGTTGCAGTTTGTGAAGCCCGCAGGTGGGGAGGAGGTACCGGTCTCCCCCCGTGTGGCACCCATCCTCTGCAAAGATTTCCTTGGAACCCAACCTCATTCATTTAAATTCTGAAGGTGAGAGAACTGGCTCATGGGAAAGGACTGGAAAGGAATTACTTCCCACTGAGAGAATAATGACTCCTCCTCTCCTTCTCTTTCTCTCTCTCCCCCCAGTAATCTCCTTATAATAGCTTATTTACTGGGTGATGATTGTGGGTAAAAGGGCCTGTTTAGCTGCCTCTCAATAAGCTCTAGGGGGATTATCAGGCCCCAGTGTTAGCAGCTGTCTTTAGACCGTGGCATATTATTGCATGTTATTCTTATATGAAGCCCCAGAGCACCAGTAAAAGTCCCACCCACTATTGCGTGATATAACCAAGGGTCCAACTCGGCCTCCCACTGCAGCAATCTAAATACAAATCCAAAAGCTGATAAAAATTTCACTTTGCCTAAAGCTATTTTTGCCACTTTGACAATCTGAGTAAGCTCTGAAGTGCACTAAACAGGGACAGCAGCCTGGGAACAGTCAGTGTGGTGTGCAAAAACGCAGAGTAAACACATTCAGTACTCTCTTGGGCAAAATCCATGATCATGACAGAAAGAATAAGGTGCTTTCTTTTGGGAACAGAGGTGGTTTCCCAGAAACAGGAATGAGAGTGAGGGGAGGGAAGCCAGGCAAAAGAGGAGGGAGAGGTAGACCCAGGAGAGGGAGAGGGACAGACTGTGAATACAGCCAAGGCACTCCTTGCTTTCATTCTTGGCTCCCATGGACACGGCCCAGAAGAAGCAATGTGGGCCCTTCTAGGAGAGGGCTCAGCCCAGGCAGGCTCCTGTACCTCACAGTGATTTAGAACTCTCAATCTCCTCCAAGAACTGGTGCCCGTGGCCCACGGAGCGAGTGTTCCTGACCAGGGAGGTGGGCAGGGAAAAAGGGAGCCTGCAAGTACAGTCAATCAGCATTCTGCCCTGCAGCCCTCCCCAAAGTCCCCTCCCCTCCTCCACCCCACACTAGGCTCATAAGTTTACTGAACAGAAAAACAAGCTCATTAATCCAGACTCAGCCTAACATCACAAAAGGAACTAGCAACATTTCGAATGGTGAGAATCCTGAATGTGTAGGTAAGTGCTATTCACTTTGATCTGCAGTAAAAGTTTAGACAGATTAGACTCAAAATCAAGCTGCCTGGATATAATTTCTTTCTTTTGTCCTGATTTTATCCTCTCTGAAAGGCTAATATTTTTCCTGTATTATCAACACAAAAGCTTTATTGGTACAATCTGTTTAGATCTTGTGCACACAATTCTTGTGCCCTTAACTCTGAGATAAGTACTGAAGGACTCAGAGGAGAGGAAAGATGTGGTCCTGCATCCTGGAGCCAGAGTTGGACGGACACAGGTATTTAGCTTTGGACATCTAGGTATGTGATGTGGGCTCAGCATCTAATATCTGGTTATCTGAGTAACCACTTTGAAGATAATAATCTGTAATACAAGAATCATTGTTAATTTCCTATCACCTTGCTTTGAAATTCTGTATTGTTTTTATGTTTTGTTTATGTCTTTATTTTTGTTATTTTGTTTTGTCCTTTTCTCTTAAAATAAAAATAAATAAATAAAATAAAATAAAATCTAAAATGGGTGAAGGCAGAGGAGGAGCTTGTTCCCAGACTGAACTCCCCGTGCCATCCGGACAGCTCACTTTGGGTGCCATTTTATTTTTAATCAGTAGACTCCACTCTTTGAGATATCAGTGGTTCAGATTTGGTTTGAATGCTCAGACTCGAGACTGGCATAGCTGAAAGCTCCCTGATAGGGAGAACTGTGTCTCATTGGCCAGGCACTGGCACAAAGCAGGATACAGGCTGAGTGAGCACGAGCATATATAACTGAATCAACTGAGGGGTCCCAGAATGTTGGAGCCCTAACTCCGCAAGCTGGGTGAATATCTGTCTCCCTCCAACTCTGGCTCCAGGATGCGCGGCCACATCTTTCCCCTCCAGGCCGCTGAGCAGGCCCGTTGGGAACCTTTAAGGAATAATGAAGGGACTTCCTTTAGCAGGTAAATAATGTCTTATATATAAATATATACAGTGCTCCCCCAAGAGTTGTTCAAATGCTTTTCAGTGGATCTGATTCGGGAGTGTGTAGGGAGCCTGTTGTCAATCACTGTCCCACTAGTAAGGAGGCTGAGGCACAGAGAAATGACTTTACCTCCATCTTTCTGTGTCACCCTGGAAACTCTTTTTACTGCAGAGCACATTTCCCAACAGTGTGATTCATCTGTTGGTCAGCTGTGGTTGCAGAAATATAGAAGTGCCAAACATTTATCTCAGACCCAGTGCTAGGTATCAGCATCTCAACCTTGCTTTATCAGGATCACTGTGTTGTCTGGGAGCATCTAGTTTCATTGTCTCTCAATAGTGAAGAGGATGCAGATGAACATGGCCAGGGGATCCCTACACAAGCACTTCGACTTTGAGAGGAAGCATGCCAGGCAGGCTGCGGTCAGACTGGGCCATACACTGCAGGAACTAGAGGAAATCTGCCTCTACCACGTGAAGCTGCTGAGCAGAGAGCAGAGACAGCTCCAGAAAGACCTGCAGAGGCTGCAGCAAGGTGAGCTTTCAGCGCTGGGGACCCATGCTCCAGAGGCAAAGTGGGGCAGCCAGAAACAAGAACGTCCAGGCTCCATGTAGCTGTTAGTCCTCATCTGTCCCTCAATCCCACAGCTCCCTGGAGCAGTCCTCTCACAAGCCTTGAGCTAATTCTTCTCAGGCTTCCAATCGCTCTGCTCTTTCAAATTCAGCCTCTTGCTTAATTCCTTGGTTTTTCATTTTCTTATCTTATTGCTAACTCTGCTCTATTTTTACTATTTCTGAGCTGATTTGGTTTCATCCTTTGTTTATGTCTTTTCCTTTTCAGACTTAACACTACTTATTGAGCAGTTACTGAGGCCCAAGTCACTATTCTAACCTACTTTATAAAATTTAATAAGAAAAAAATCTCTAGGATTAAAACTTCAGTTTCCTCAATGTGAAATAAAAGTGATATTCCTTACCCTGTGAGATTATATAAAGATCCAGTTAGCTTTCAGAGCAGCACCTAAACACAAACTCAATGCTGGAGAAGTGTTTACTCTTGCCAAACAATATCAGTGTTACAGAATCAATACTCTCCTCCTGTTTTGTTGAAAATTGTCCCAGTGGTACAGTTTGTATGAACTAGCTCACCTTTGCATAATCATTAAAATAATTGGACTTCAATGTTGCTTCAAAATTCTGCACAGAACAACTCAGCTCTCAAGACTTCGCCTCTTCATAAGCAGGTGCCAGGACACAGGATTGGAGGAAATGATGTAACATGACTGAATGTAAAATCTTCCAGATCTACAGTTTAGCATACAAACACAAAAGCCAAGAGTAACGCCTGAATATCTGGCCTGGGAATTATTTCTAACCTCCAGTTATTTCTAATTATATAGGATTATTTCTAGCCTCCTTGGCCTTGAAAGATGACTCTGACCAAGTACCAGAGCCCCTCTCCTTTTAATTTCCCTGTCTGCAACAAATGTTAAATCAACCTAGAATGAGAGATACACACTGGAAGAGATTTTAGAAAGCATTTTGTTGTTTCTCACTTTTGTTCTCAAAAAAAGACACTGAAGACCAGATGCTCCTCTCAGGAAGGTGTACAAAAAGCCAGCCCTTAGGTAGGTGGCCGTCCTGGTTGATAGAGCGTTTGGTTCTTCACAGGTATATTGAAAAGGTCTGGACCAGGAAGTAGAAAACTTCAGTTCAAGGGTCTTTGTCTCTGTGTTCTATAGCCTTCTGAAGTCTTAGACTTCTTGACAGTAAAATTTGGGGACAGGAAAAGTAAATAAATAAAATGTATCATCTCAATATTTATTAGGCATCATGTTCACCAATATTTTTCCATGATTCATTAAACAAAAGTATTGAGATTCAGTAGTATATAAATTAGCGGGTTGTTTAAGATGTATGTTGCCAGTTCTCATCTGTGAGGTTTGGATCAATAGGTCAGAGAGTAGGCTCGCATATTCATGTTTTTCATTGGTGCTAAGGCAGGGACTCATTCTGGACCAGGTGTATTGCACCAGGCCTTACACAGCACTGTTACAGCTACTCAGGGGCTAGAGTAGAAACACACACAAAAAAAGTTCTCTTCCCTCAGTGTGCTTCCATTTAAATTGGAGGGTAGTTCTGCTTACAAAAATTATCACCAAACATGCTAATTGCGCCAGGTACAGTGGTGTACACCTGTAATTCCAGCACTCTGATAAGCTTGAGGCATTGCAAGTTTGAGTCCCACTTGGGCAATTTAGTGAGGCCCTGTCTCAAAATTCAAATAATAACAACAATAACAATAATAACAATGAAATTACACAGAACTAAGGATTTAGCTCAAAGTGAAGATGCTGGCTTCAATACCAAGTACATAAAGAAGAGGAAGGAGGAAAGGGGGAAAGGGAAAGAGAGGAGGAGGAGAGAGGGGAAGAAGAGGAAGCAGGGAGGTGGCAAATTGCTAAATTAGAGTTATTTACAAAGTAGTGCAGGAACAGTGGAAGTTTAGTAAAATCTCCCAGGAAGGCGGCATAAGAGCAGAGTGGAGGAGGAGGAGAATGTGGGTGAGCGGGGACTTACTAGAAGACCTGTGGAATGAGGCCACCCCTAGAGGAAAGGAAGAGTTTGTGCAAAGGCACATAATTGAGCACAGCTTGCCGAAAATACGGTAGCTCACACTGTATGAGAAATACATGGGGCGGGAGCAGCCACATATGCTGTTTTCCTAAGAAAAATGGGGCAAGCGTATCTCCAATGTGAAGAGCTTCACAGGTCTTACAAAACAGTTTAAATTTCACCATGCAGGGTTTAAAAATAGGGAAATTACATGTTCGAACATCAGAGAAATCAATCTGGCCACAGAGTTTAAGGTTAAATAAAGTTTAGTAGGTACAGTCAGAGCAGAAGACCTGATGGACTTCCAAAGCGCAGCCATGATCCAAAGGCCTAAACTGTGACATTGGTCAGGGGAGGAAAAGGAGGAGGCCAGCATCTCAACGTCTGTAGAAAACGGAGTTGTCAGAGCTTTGTGACCACGTGTATGTCCAAAGTTAATGTAGCGTATTGCCTGATGCAAAGCAGGCACTCAAATGTACCAGTTAAGTTGCATGAGGAGGTGGATATAGGTGCCACATCTTGACAGAGCGCAGTGTAAGATGTGGTCATTTCTAATCCTCTTGGCACTGAAGGTCTAAGCTCCGGTAAAGCAAATAGCTAGCTAATAGTAGTTCAAAATCCCTTAGTTTATAAGAAAATTCTTATGTGGAGAAAGCTTCCACGTAACCCTAAGGAGACAAAAAGAAAGAGGGGCCCATAGAGGTCTATTTTTTTTGGTCCTCTTTCACAAAGAAATGATGAACTGATGGAGTGTTGGGAGTTTACTGTGAATTCCAGCCCATAATGACAGTGTAGCTTTAAGAACCTCACTCCCACTAGAGCAAACTAATGCAAGGTTTTCAACCTCGAATGACCAACTCATGACTTGAGAATTAATTGGGTCCTCTATAGCCATGACTACGAGATGCTGAAATATCAACTTAACGAGTGGAAAGCCCACTTCACCCGGGCTGGCAGTTGGTGCGGGTGGATAGGAGGTCACATTCTTCAGCGAGTGAGACAAAGCAGTCACGCCCCAGGGATTTGGGTTTTGAAATCACTGCGCTGCCAAGTAAAACATTCAAACAAAACCTTCCTGGGCTGAGGCAGTTTAGACCTTTGATCTGGATATTTCTAAATCCTCTTTAACATGCCCCAGGTAAACATCGAGACATGTATGAAAATTTTGTTTTCATCTATTGTGCCGAAGCAGCCTGCTGTGTGTTGGGAACCAAGGGTCTTTCTCCACTGATTCTGGAAGCCCAGTTTCCAACGTGGTTTCTCTTCTCTAACTGTATTTACTTTCAATGGCACCATAACGAAGTACGACAAGCTGAGTGTCTTAAAACTTAGTACCTCCTTGTCTCGCAGGGCTGGAGTCTGGAAATCCAAAGTCAGTGGATTCCTTTGTGGCCTTTCCCCTGCTGTGTGGATGGCATCTCTTCCCCATGTCCCTTTGCATGGTGCTCTGTGTGTGTCTGTTCAAATCAAATCACTTTTGTGGTGTGGATACCGCCCACACTGGAGTAGAACCCACCCCAATCACCTCTATTTTAACTGTGTCATCTCTTTGAAGAGCCTGCTTCCAAACAAGGTTATAAGCTGAGGTCGTGGGGTGAGGGGTTAACTTATCAATTTTGGAGATCACACAATTCACTCGTAACTCCTTACTAATTAACTCAAAGCAGATATCATCAAGAGAAGGTTCCCCTCTTACTTGGAGAATGAAACTCAGAACAAACCGGATGCTTTCAGCTTCTCACCACAAGCCAGACAGAAGCACAGAGTCCCAGAATCTAACATGAGGTAAGAAAATGCTTGCTAAACCCATGGGTATGACCTAAAAAGCCCTCTTCCCAACCGATCTCTGTAAAATATTCTTCTCTCACTGAGAAAGTGCTGTCTCCCCCTTCTGAAACACAGCAAGTTTCCCTGCTGTTTCTAGATTCTTCATCCTGTTCTCGTTTCCTCTGTCACCTCAGCTGACACCACAGTGGAGGGGACCCTGCTATAATAACCTAAAAGGTCTCACTGGGAGATTTTCATCAGTCTTCAGAGATCTTTCTTCTTTTTCAACTCTTTTTCCCAGAGCACTGGCAACCAGTACAACTCAAGAAAGATATAAAACCAAGTCCCTGATGCCTCCTGTGCATTGCACTGGCCTCAAAGACCCAAAGAAGAGGGAAGAATACCTGCGATCTCAAAGCTACAGGACTTACTGCTTCAGGGGGAAAAAAGTACAGACTCAAGAAAAAGATTCTGTAAAAACCCCTAAGGGCATACACCCCAACAATGGCACCTCTGCCCTGCATCAAGACCAAGAAGTTTCCACCAGCAGCATAGAACCGGGCCCTGGCTCCAGTCCACCCAGGGAGAGTGGAATGGTTCCTGAAGGTGCAGCTAGATCCAAAGATCCCAACCTAAAGCCAGATGGGAATGCTGGGAAGCAACTTCTCCCAAATCCCATGGAACGGGCCATGAGCTTCCAGGGCGAGTCCACAAAGTCCACCTTCTTAGAGTTGTTTGGCAAGGCCAAAAATGCTCACTACCTCCGGCACAGGGTTCCCCCTGAGTCTGAGAGGTTGCTGAGCATCGGGGAAATATTCGGACATGCAGAATCCTCACTGTCTGGGGCACAAAAGGATTGCAAAACCAGGGTACCGCCTAAGTTGTTCTGTAGCAGTTTAATATAGACTGATGATAACATACCTCATAATTGCTAAGGAAATGCATTAAAAACTGATCCTTTCTAGTTCCATTTTAACCTGTTGGTACCAAATCTTTGGATCTTAATAAAAGTGTAGTAATCAATACATAGATAATAAACAGAAATACAAATGTATAACTTCTTAATCCATGCTGCCTCTCTCTCTCTCTCAGTGTAAGTAAATGAAAAATGAAGGGAGGGGACGGGGAGCTAGCTCAGCAGCACAGCACCTGCCTGGCCAGCGCAAGGTCCTGAGTTCAATTCCCAGTACCAAAAGAAATGGAGGGACAAATCTTCCGAAAATGTTTTAAATGATGAACTTGCGTTTTTAACATTATCAAAAATAGGCATATACATCAACGACTGGACTTTTCCCTGAAGGAAAATATGAAGAGTCCTGCTCTCATTGCATCCTACCTCGATGCTTATGGTGCCACCTGTTGGTAAAATGACACAGCTCACGTCTTTTTTTATTTCATATATGGTAGGGGTAAGCATAGGAAGTCAGTCTAAAATAGGGACTGTGCTATGGAGTCGGGCTTGGTGGCACACACCTGTAACTAAGTGCTCCGGAGGGTGAGGCAGGAGGATTGCCAGCTCAGCCTGGGCAATTTAGCAACTTAGAGAGACCTGGGGGAGAGGGGTTTGCTCATTGCACGGGTCCTGGGTTCAATCCCCAGTACTGCAAAAAAAACACGGTACAATATTAGCATCTATAAATAACACTCAGTTCTTGGTGTAGTCCTGTGCTTTGTTTTGAAGCCCCTTCCTGCCTTCTTTTCTTTTTTCTTTTCCAAGTAGTTCTGTTTTAGTTTCTTCTTTTCCCACTTTCAGCCTGCTCATAGGAAATTCTCTGGATCCTAATAAAAGAAAAAAACAAGCTGTTTCCTTTGGTGTCCTCTCGAATGAAAGGATTTCAGAAAATTTTAGTTATTTCTCAACATTCTCAGGTTCACTTCAGTCTAACAAGAGCCATCCCGCTGTGAAGGGAGTGGTTACTGAATCTGTGAAATAGTTCTTTTTTCAAATAGGTCTCTAAACTTGGGCTTCAAAGTAAGTGAATCTAGAAGACCTTGTTTCTTACCCAAGAATCCAAATTTCACACTAAAATTAAGTGACATCGTAAATCATCAGAAGTAAACAGCTCATTGTTATTGCACTTTAATCCTGTTTTATCCCTCATCAAGTGTAAAACAGAATCACTTTCTATCAGTTAAGTGTTATTTATACCAAATCCCTTAGGCAAAGTAGCTTCTGCTGCTAAGTACAAGGTCTTAAAGAAATCAAGCATCTATTGAAAAGTGAATTCAAATCTTTACCCCAGTCACAAAGTTAAATATGAAAAGGATACACTTAGAACTTATTTATTTATTCACTTAATTTAAATTGAATTTATTTATTTATTTATTTATTTATTTATTTTTGTAACGAGGCTCAAACTCATGACCTCATGCTCACCAGGCAGGTGCTGTGCCACTGAGCTATATCCCCAGCCCTAAACTGAATTACTTTTAGACAGAGGGTCTTACTATGCTGCCATGCTGACCTCAAACAATTCTCCTGCCTCAGCTTCCCAAGTAGCTGGGACTATAGACTGCAAGTATGGACTGCCTAGAATCTGTTTAATATTAGGAATCCACATTTGTTGTGAACTAGCCTGGGGAAATTTTGAAGAAAGAAAATTATTTAGATCAGCAATAATAAAGGATCTCAACCTACTAACATTATAGCCAGAAATAACAATTAATTTACATTTAATTACATTTAATTGGGAATTAATTTAATTATACTTAATTTAGTAACATAATTTAATTCCCATTTAGATGCCTGTGTTTAAAATAATAATTCATAACAGCTCTCATTTTTTTTGAAGTTATTGGACTGGATCAGGCCAAAGTAATAGTAGGCAAAACTGACAATGGTTATTGAGAAAGAAAAAAAGATAACCATTTCATGCTTATACCTTACCAAGCTGAAATGTCTCAGTTCTCACCTATGCAGAGAAGCATGTGCTAAGTCACATCTACTATCAGAGACACAGGGTGTTTACTACGTGGTCCTCCTCTCCATTCTGGCTTGGAGCGTAGCCCACTTGAGACGGACGGGAAAAGATGTTTGACCTAATGAGCACAACATAAACTGTCACTTGCCATCCCCCCCCCCACTATTATGAATGTGTTGCTGCTGGGTCCTAATAACAGGTATCACTCAATTAGAATGTATGTGAAATTTAATGTAATTAGTTAATTACTAGGAGCATCTTAAGTTTAATTTTATTAAAGTCCTTCCATGAAATAGGGCAATAAGGAAACCTTCTTGTAAACGGGAAAACACACATAAATACTTATAAAAGAATTCCAAACAATGCGTATTGGTTGTAATCAAATCTGACACAAGCATGGACCCACTCAATTGGAAAGTATCATCAATAAAATATTTATTCAAGTAATATGTGATAAGGGGCTGGGGATTTAGCTCAGCGGCACAGCACCTGCCTGGCAAGCGAAAGGTCATGAGTTTGATTCCCAGTACTGGAAAAAAAAAAAAAAATCAAGTAATATGTGATAAAGAGAAATGTATGTAAGCTATAGGTAAAGATATTTCATCATGAAATTCACTACTGGAAATTTTTGAACATTCTTGCTGAGGACTGTCTACAAGCTTGTTCTGGACTCTCAAGCAGAAACGAACCAAATGGTACCGACCGACAAACACCAAGACGCACGGACTGCCAATTGGAATTTAGGACGAGCCTTTATTCCTGCCCAGGGACTGACTGAAAGCCTCCACGCAGGGAAGGATCAGACCAGTCCTGATCCAGGGACGAGAGTGGTTTTTAAACCTTAAAACCACATCATGCTTGGCAAACACATGTCACATCTGTAACAATGAGGGGATTTTTTATGGGAGGAACAGTACATTCTGAGAATCTGGGAGGGGTAGAGTATTTAGGGGAAGAACAATACATTTTGGGAGTCCAGGAAGAGCAGGGCTTTTACAACCAGTTTACAACCATACATTCCAGAAAAGGTAAACATGAAGATCTAACCCCACTGCAGGGGTGGGAACTGGGAATTAAACTAGAACCTTTGATGTCTGTGGTGGGGCTTTTACAAAGCTGAGATCAAAAAATATGGCAAATGCTTAAGTTTTTAAAAATGTATTACAGTAAAAGACACAATTGCATTAATCCTCCTCAGAACTCCCTATCACTTCAAACACTCTGATCCCACGGTTCTTGGCACTTTCTGAAGCAGTTCTGGAAGTCCTCTCTCGTGAGGGACTTCACTTGTGCCATCATGGCTGCCTCTATGTCCTGAATCCACTCAAAACATTTACTTTTCATGGTCATTTTGACTTTGGGAAGAGCCAGAACTCACACAGTACCAGATCTGGTAAATAAGGTAGATGAGGACACATAGTGTCTTTATTTGACAGAAATTACCATAAACATTTGATCAATGAGGGGTGGTTCAAAAATATGGTGAGTGGTTCAATCAATAATTTGATTACAATGAAGGCCACAGTGTTGCTAGCCCCCTGGGAATATTCCAGACATGCACACCCACTTCCAGCACACCTATCCCATTGTTCTTGGCAATGCGTCTTCTACTGTGATAAGATTTAAAAAAAAAAAAATTTCAACATTCACCATAGTTTTCGATCACCCCTTGTCTACTGAGTAGAAGAAATGAGAGAAAAGACAAAGGATAGTAGTTCAGCACCAAAGTTCAAGCACTGGGACGGTGCAGCTAGGGACAGGAGCCTCTCACAGCTCCAGGAAGCACAAGGAGTGGCAAGCAGCTGCAGCCATCACCACGCCCACCGCCCGAGCTGAGTCCTTCATGGAGCTCCAGTAGGCAGGACATTCCAAGTGGAGTAATTCGTGGTTCTAGTGATTATTTTGATACAGTATTACTAAATAAAAGAGTAGAGATAGTTTTATGGAATATATATATATATGTATAATATATATGAATTCATATTTGAATTCTTGCCTTAGAGGATTTCCTCATCGTTTTCCTTAAAAGGCACAAGCGCAGACACTTGCATACAACACTCCTCTCTCTCTTTTTTTCCTGCTGTATTAGAAATTGAACTCCAGGCATTCACACTAGGCTTCATCCCCTCCCCTTTTAATTCTTACATTTTTTGAGACAAGATCTCATTAATTCCCTAAATTTCCCAGACTGGCTCCAACTTGTGATCCTCCTGCCTCAGCGTCCCAGGTTGCTGGAATTAGAGGTGTGCACCACCATGCCTGGCAACACTATTCTTAAGAACAAATGTGAAGGAAAAGTGCCCCCGGGGTCTCAGAGGGAAGTTCACTTTAAACCTTGCACCCACACGGTGGTATCTCTAGGCCGGCTAGGGCGGGTGATCAGTTAGTGCACTACGGGTGATAGTGGGCCTGACACTTTTGTTTTTACCTTCCAGCAAATTGTGATTAAAACAAAAAGAACCTTTACCCAGGTCAGTCTGAATATGAATGCAAAATTAAGTAGGCCTGGGGTCCTAAAACTGAAGGAAAATGAGAGCAATAAAATTGGGCTAAGAAGGAAGGTGTTTGGTGTACACAGGAAAAGAACTGGACAGGAGTCAGCAAGCTTTGGCTATTGGAAGAATCCCTGGGAACCTAAGGACGTGCTGCCTCACCGTTAACTCCATTCCTTCCAAACCAAAAGCTGGCTGCGCTGAGCTCTGCTGCTCCCTGCACCCTGGCTTTGCAGCAGAAGCTGTAGCTACAAATGTCACAAATAGTGAAAAAGCCCCAGCATTAAAATAACCGAGACTTCACCTTTAAAACCCAAGCTCTTCCCTAATTCTCTGAGCAGCGATAACATGAGTAGCTTTTTCTCATCACCACTCATTCCCGGAGGGCAGTCTTTCATAACAGAAAATCCGTACCTACTTTCCTTGTACGGCATCACCAATTCTCTAGAGACTGAAAGCAATTTAAATTCAAGAGAATCTACTTTAGCTCAAAGTGATCAGAATTCCTAGGTTGAAGAGTTCCACAGCTCACCCTTATTCTGGCATTTAATCCTAAGTATCACATAAATTAAAGAAGTTTCGTTTAGTAACAGAAATATCTTGTTTATATTAATTATCCTGGGGTTTTTCCTAAGATATTGGAATTGGTAGA